GCAGATTTACGCCGCACTGCCGCCCATTTTTCGACGTTATGAAATGGAGAGAAAGAGATTTGCAGATTGTTGGCCTCCGCGGCGCGGAACGGAGCCGTGGAACGGAGCGGCGGAATCGTTTCGAGAAGGCGGCGGTGCGTTAGCGGTGTTGTCGTCTGCCAGGGAAATGCCTGCCTGCCTGTCTGCCTGCCCGCCTGCCCCCTGCAGCTCTGCCCTGCAGCCGGCCTACCTCGCGAAATAAATAACCCCGCTTCCACGAAGTCCTACCGCAACGTATTCACTTTACTGCGCCAATGAAATGGGCTATACTGCCGCTCATCTCCGCTATGAGAAATGGCTGCGGCGCTGTCGGCCGCCGGACGCCTCGCGAGGGCCAACACGCCGTGCACACGGATAGGCCGCGCCAGCCACGCCAGCGGAGGGGCGGCAACGGCCACCTGCAGGCAGCCCTGCCGACCGATCCCGAAGGACCACCGCGTCGCTCTGTCTCTGTCGCACTCATGGGCCGCTCCAAGGGTGCGAGAGAGACAGGACGACGATGCGGTCGGCTGCCTCGCGGTGACACTTAATTCATTAGTGGATCGCCTCGTCGGGGTGGTCGAGATGGGCTGCCGAACGGTCGCGGCGATTCCACGGCATGCGTCTAACGACTTTGTAATGGAGATAAATTAGGGATGACACTTTTCTTTTTAGGTTGGCCGGCCAAAAAGCCAAAAAGAAGGCGGTGGCGGTCGTATAAATCCCGCCGTCACGTTTCCCGTCACGACGGCGTCCTGGCGAGACCATCAACCCGATGCTGGCCGCCGCCGTCAGGATCATCATCTCGACCGAGGGGGTATGCGCTCTCTGAACCTGTGTACCGACTATTACGCTATTACGCTCTATTACGCCACAAATAAATCGGAATTTAGCTAAAAACGGCCTAAAACACACCAAAATTGATAAAATTTTGACAATTTCGGCTATTACGCGACTAATACGCGACTATTACGCGTATTATTACGCGTGCTATTACAGATAGAGTGAACCGACTATTACGCGAGTGCATACCCCCTCGATCTCGACGGTGACGGGTCGGACGGACAGGTCGCGCCATCTGGTGGCCGGTGACGTCAGCGCGAGTCGCGACATGAATTTCGGATGAGGACGGCGATGTAAGGAGCAAGGACGACAAGAGCCACTGCTTGCACTGCTTGCGGTGTTAACGGGAACACAGTCACGCCGCACCGCGCCGCCGGCCGCGCGGCCTAGCCAGGCCTAGCGCGCAGCCCGCGCAGCGCAGCCGCGTCGATACATCGAAAGATTCCTTTGGTCACCGCTAGAGCGCGCTGAAGCGTAGCCGAAGCCCCGAAGGCCCGCTACAGTACAGTGTTCCTCCGGAGCCCCTGCGCGTCCTAACCGAAACAACACCAGCCTGCACGGCCGGGGCCGGCCCGCCAGGTGCGCCATCTGGTGGCCTGGTGACGTCAGCGCGATCCGACATGAATTTCGGATGAGGACGGCGATGTAAGCGGCAAGGACGACAAGGCCACTGCTTGCACTGCTTGCCTGCCTCTCTGCCGGCTGCCTGCCGGGCCGCCGGCGCCGCCGGCGCCGCGCGCCTGCCGCTGCCGCCGGCGCCTGCGGCCATGCGCCTCCCTGGCTGCGCCTGCCCCTGGCTGCCTGCCTGCCGCCTGCCTGCTGCTCTGCTGCCTGAAGCTGCTCCTGCTGCCTGCTGGTCGTGCTGCCGCCTGGCTGCCTGGGCTGCCTCGCCTCCTGGCTGCCTGCCTGGCTGCCTGCCTGGCTGCCTGCCGGGCTGCCTGCCTGGCTGCCTGTGGCTGCCCTGCCTGCTGCCTGCCTCCCTGCCTGCTGCCTGCCTGGCCTGCCTGCCTGCCTGCCTGCCTGGCTGCCTGCCTGGCTGCCTGCCTGCCTGCCTGCTGCCTGGCTGCCTGCCTGGCTGCCTGCCTGGCTGCCTGCCTGCCTGCCTGGCTGCCTGCCTGCTCCCTGCCTGCCTCCCTTGCCCTGCTGCCTGCCTGCTGCCTGCCGCTGCCTGCCTGGCGCTGCCTGCCTGGCTGCTGCCTGGCTGCCTGCCTGCCTGCTGCCTGCCTGGCTCCCTCTGGCTGCCTGCCTGGCTGCCTGCCTGGCTGCCCTGGCTGCCTGCCTGCTGCCTGGCTGTGCCGGGCGCGGCGCCAGCTCAGTTAGCATACGTGTTCCCACAAGGGGCCGCCGCCGCCCCGCGGCTGGGAAAAATCAGCTCACGATTGGGAGAGATTTGCAAGGAAACAAAAACAAAAATAATAAAACACTCGCTTTTGTATCGGGTGTGGGTCGAGGGCGTTTCCGGGCGGGCCCATAGAGACCGCATGCACACAATGACCGACCGTCCGGCGGGCGTTCCGGGCGTTCCGGGCGTTCCCATGAACTTGTCTCGCGGAGAATCAGGTGGCCCACAAACTTTGAAAGACATGGGACTTCCCTGCGGAGCGCGGCGGCATGTCGCCGGCCGGCATCATCAAGGGGCGGGAGCGGGCCGTCGTTGGAAGCGCCGTGTCGTCTTGTCGCCATGGTTTCTGAAAAGTCTGTCAAGAGGTTTCCCCCGCTGCCCCGCCGGACGAAAACGCGTTAACGAACGAAAACCGCCCGAGACACTACGACACCGCGCCGCGTGTGGCGACTTTCTCTCCGATGACCGAAGAATGGCCCGCAGATGAAGCAACATGAGAACGGAGGAACAACAGACACCACCTTCACCGCCTTCGCCACCTTCTCTCCGACGAGAAAAGAGATCGATTCCAGCGAAGCAGAGCGCCGCGCCGCCCCGCGGTGTGTAGCAGTGTGAAGCAGCGCGAAGCAGCGCCAAGCCTGGACGCGCTTTTTTAAGGCTTTCTCCGGAGAAATTGGCCCTCGCCGTGGCACCGCCGGGCAACACCGGGCACCACCCGCACATCGCGTTCGCCACGGAGGGCCGCGGCGGCAACTGCATCCAAGACAACGGGGCGGCGCGATAAGCCTGGCCCGGCCTGTCGTCAATTCCCGGCCGGAGACTCAGGGAGGAGCCGCCAGCGCCAGCGCCAGCCGCCGGACAGCACAATGGCTAACAGCGCCAACAGCGCCAACAGCGCCAACAGCGACCCCAAAGCCAGGCAAAGGGAGCGGCGCGGCCCGGAGAGGTGCCCGGGGGACAACACCTGGGCGGTGGCCGACAACAGGGCCAGCGACGACATAGAGCGCGTCGGTGGCGGCCGCGGACAACGCCGTCCTCCTCGACGAGAACCTGCCGGTGGCGGTCGAGGATAATACCGTCCTCCTCGACGAGAACTTGCCGGTGGCGGTCGAGGACAACGCCGTCCTCCACGATGAGAGGAGCCCCACGATGGCTTACGCGCGTCCCCCGTCCGCCTGCGTTCGGCGCGCCGCCTCCGCACCGCCGTCCCACTCGCCGAGACGCCGAGACGCGCCGGGCCGCTCGCGCCGCGTTTTGCAAGGCACCTGCCTGCAGGCAGCTGGGGCAGCTGCGCCAGCACCAGCCGCGCAAGCCGCAGGCCGCGCAGCCGCGCAGCCGCGCCAGGTGTCGTCCTGATAAAGCTTATCTTCCTTCTCCCTTCCACCGCGCCGAATCGATTAGCCCCGTCTCCTTCCTGCCGCGAGGCCGTCGCCGCCCGGCCGGAGCGTCTTCCTGTCCCGGCGTCGCGGCGTCGCGGCGTCGCGGCGTCGCGGCCGGCACCGCCCCGACGGCCGCGTCGCTCTGGGCCCTCTGGGCAGCGCGGGCCTTGGCCTGGGTGTGGATGTCGCCCCGGACCACCCGGCGGCACCGTCGCCCTATCGGCCCAATCAAACTGAAACGCGACGCCGCGGCACGTTTCCGCGGACTTTCCGTCGCCGTCGCCGTCGGCGTCGCGGGGCCGGCCGTCGACCCTGGTCGACCCGCCGGCCGGAGGTGGGGGCGTGGAGGCAGAGGGCAGAGGGAGGGCCGATTTTAAAGTGCCGCTCTTATCCGCCGCTCTGCAATGCGACGCTGCAGTCCGAGTGGGAGTCCGCGACTCGAGCGTGGGACGTACCTGGGGTCAAAACTCGCATCAGGCTCGGGGAGGGGTGGGGGGTGGGGTGGCGCGAGCGGGCGCGAGCCTGGCTGTCGTCCGTTCGCGGCCGACCCGACCAGCCGCCCGTCCGGCCGCCCGTCCGGGTTTGTCGCCCACGTATCAAAACGGCCCCGGCCCGTGCCGCCGCCAACGCCTAACGACGCCGCCCCGCCCCGCCCCGCCCCGCCCCGCCCCTCGTTGGCGTGCGGTCGCTGCGGATTTACTTTTTTTCGGCCGCCTCTTCGTGTGAGACAATACTTGAGCAACAAAAGCGTCGGCAACACGGCTTGGCTTGGCGGCGCCGAAAGTCCGCCCGGCGTTTGCCTCCAATGTGGGAAACGACGGCCCCAAAACAGCGCCGACAGTTTATCCAGGATGTTGGTGATGTTGTTGTTGTTGTTGTTGCTGCTGTTGTTGTTTACGCGAAATTGCGGTCGGGATGGGACTGCGCGCGGCCAGATGACTGGTATAATTATTATTACGTTTCCCTGCCTGGAAAGTGGAGGTATTTAATTTCGCGATGACTTACTGCCTCTGCCGAGATTTGCAATTGTCGTAATTGCGACGCGTTGCTACGCGTCCGACTCCGGCGGCTCGTTTTACAGTAGTGCCTGCTACCCGTCACGTGGCCTCGGTTTGCACACTGACAAACTGAAGCTGAAGAGCAGAAGACGAGTGCTGTTGTTTGAAAATGCAGTCCTTAACGGACGGCCTGATGCACACTGTCACTGACATTTCTCTGACGCCCGCCACACTGCAACGCCGTTCTTGCGAAGACGGCCGGCGATTGTTGTTGTGTTTAGCCACCCCTGCGGCCCTGCGGCCCGTGGTCCGTCGCGGCGCCCCTTCCTCCCCTCCCCTCCCGTCGCAGCGCGTGGACGGCGAGGCCCCGCCCGCCCCGCGCTCGGGTCGGGCGGCTGGCTCGGCTCAGTTGCGCGCGAGGCGGCTTGGCGTGCGGAGCGGAGTGGAGCCACAGGCAGGCCACAGGCGCGCCAACGACGCGACGCGACGCGACGCCGCGGACGAACGCAAACGAACGACGACCGCTGTCGAGCGGCCTACGCGCCAGTAGGCCCCGCGACCAGCGACAAGTGGCGTGTGCAGTGCAGTGTGCGTGTGTGCGTGTGCAAGTGCAGTGTAAGTGTCTGTTTCGTGTGTGGCGGCCGTGTCGGCTGCGCTGACCGTCCAGTGTGAAAAGCTGCGCCCTCCCCGGCCCGCCCCCAACCTCAAGGCCCTTCACTCGTCTTTATTTTCAACCATTTTTAAAGTTTTTACCTTTTAAATTTTGCCGTTGGCAACAAGTTGGCCAGTGCCGTGTTGGCTGCCTTTGGCGAGGCGGCACTCGGCGCGCGGTGTCGACACAGCGCGCGGGGGAATGCCCAGCGCGGCCGCGCAGGTCATGCTGGGCCAGGTGGTCCGCCAAGGCCCGGCCGCCTGGGCCGCCTCGGCCCGGCGAGACCAGGGCGAGACCGCGCCGCAGCGTCGGCACCGACGGCACCACGCGTCGCCCGAGTCACGCCGAGGCCGGCGAGGCTGGGCGAGGCGGCCAAGGCCGGGGAGCAGGTGGAGGCAGGGCAGCAGGGTGCCCGTGGACGCCGACTGAGGGCTGGTGTTCTTGCAGTGAGGGGGCTTCGAGGGATGCAGCGCCCACGATGGATACGCCCATGACGGATACTTCGCACCGGCAGCGGCAGCGGACAGTCCTCAAGGTAAGCCAGCACCACTGTGTAAGAGCGCGCCGTAACCCGGCGGGGACCATGGAGAAAAAAAGACCACGGCGTGAAAACAAAGGCGAGAGACTTCGATTGGCGTTAGGCAGATTCGACTGGTCGTTGGGGACTCTATCGCTAATGATGGACTCTGCGGGAATCTTAGTTATTGCCAGAAATACTTTTGCTGGCGATGTTGACTAGACCGCATCCCCTTTTCCAAGAGAAACAAAATCGTACTCTTTGACACCACAGCCTAAACAAAAACAAAGTTTGTCGCAAAACTGGACAAAAATGTAAACTGGGTTTCTATTTTTTTCCATTATTTTTCCTCTTTTTTTGCACGGAGCGTCTCCGCTTACCGGTGCTCGGAGCCACCGTCGTGCTCCCCAGGGCAGTAAATGGGTTAAAAGGTGCGCAGGTGCGTCCCGTGCGGGCGAGGCAGGCAGGCAGGCAGGCAGGCAGGCAGGCAGGCAGGCAGGCAGGCAGGCAGGCAGCAGGCAGGCAGGCAGCAGGCAGGCAGCCAGGCAGCGCAGGCAGGCAGGCAGGCAGGCAGGCAGGCAGGCAGGCAGGCAGCCAGGCAGCCCGGCAGCAGGCAGCAGGCAGGCAGGCAGGCAGCAGGAGCAGGCAGCCAGGCAGGCCCGGCAGCAGGCAGGCAGGCAGGCAGGCAGGCAGGCAGCCAGGCAGCCGGGAGCAGGCAGGCAGCAGGCAGCCAGGGAGCAGGCAGCAGGCAGGCAGGCAGGCAGGCAGGCAGCCAGGCAGCCAGGCAGGCAGGCAGGCAGGCAGGCAGGCAGCCAGGCAGGCTGCCAGTGACAGCCAATGGGCCCCCGGAGTGGAGCCGGAGTGCTGGCTGGTGCTGCCGACCCTGGCCACTCCCACACACCACATGGCCTCGCGACCTTACTGCGGAATCGAGGCGGCCGACGGGGAACGCGCGTAAAACGGCTGGCGTTGGCGGCGGAACGTCCCGGACGGGCCGCTCGGGGCCGCGTCCCGCTTCTCGCCCGTTTTCGCCCCCAAAGCTTAAATCCGCTGCATTTCGGATTGGTCGTCGCCAGGGCCGCGGAAGGCCGCCGTCGGCAATCGTTCTGCCGCACAGTGTGGGCGTTCCGAAGGGAAGGAGAGAAACAAACCAGCGTCGGCTTGGCAGGGAGCGCCTGTGGGGTAGGCAGCTGAGCGGCACACGAGCCGAGCGGGTGGCCTACCCTGCATTCGGCGGGCGCTCGGGTCGAGTGTGTGCGCGTGTGGGTGTGGAGCAGGGCGACAACTTTCGTTTATTGCCCTCTGTCTTCCAGTCCACAAAGCACAACGCGCAACGCAGTGCGCACCCTCCGGCCGGCGTGCCGCCCTTCCGCCGGAACACTTTCTCACACGACATGCAAATGTGTCCGGTCTGGCGTTGTTCGGGTCGGGCCAGCCCGTCCGGCCGGGCCGCGCGGCGCGCACGGTGGCGGCCCTGCCTGGCCCTGCCTGGCCCTGCCCAACTGCCCTGCGGTGCTGCGGGCGGAAAGCCAACGCCGCGGCACCGCAAAAGTCACGCTAACTGTGCTGTCACGCTGGACGCTGGCACGGTCCGGCGTGGGCCGCGCCCGCCGCGCCGCCGCGCCCCGCTGTACCCGCGCTCGCTTCGCTAGCTGTGCCGCTGTGGCCGGAGCGGCGGCGGCGGGGCGGCGGGGCGGGGGGCGGCGGCGGCGGGGCGGCGGGGCGGCGGGGCGGCGGGGCGGCGGGGGGGCGGGGGACCGCCAGCCTTGCCTTGTATGGCGTCCGGGCCGGGCGGGGCGGGCCGGGTCACTGCCGCAACAGCCACCGCACGCCGCCGCGGCGGGTCCAGCAGCGCCGAACGGACGACCAAAGCGGACGACAGTCCTGTTTCGTCGCTCTGTCTCTCTCGCATCCCTGCCACGCCCCGTGGGTGCGAGAGAGGCAGCGGCAGACCGGCGTGGGAGCGGCCGGCCGCAGCCAGCCAGGACCCCGTGCGCCGTCGCCGCCGTCGCCGTCCCGGCGCGTTACGAACGGGGGCAAGGATTGGCCTGCCGGCCGGAGTGTACAGCCTGTACAGCTTACAGTGTACGTGGGAGGATTACGAGCGGCAGGCAATTCAAAGCGGGCCGGAGCGAGGCTTGCGTCACGATGTCACTTTACGACGAGCCTTCGTTACTCGCGTTACGCACGTCACTCCGAGCAAGTCGTCGTCCTTGATTTATTTATTTATTTATTTATCTCCACCGGACCCTGAAATCTCCCTCGGCCGCCATTTGGTGCGTCGCCGTCCGCGCGGCCTCTGAGTCAGCCGAGGCGGCCGGGCGCGGCCACCGAGTCGGTGTAGGCAGAGCCGGCAGAGCCGGCAGGTCGCTTCCCAGGACCGTGAGTCGCGCGGACGCGCGCGGACCTGGACCGGAAACGGAGGCGGCGGTGACGAACGCGGCGCCCCACGATGCATTCACAGGGAGTGCCGGCATGCCGGCTTGGCAAAAATATAAACTCACAAAAAAGGCAACACTTTTGGTGTCAATATCGAGGTCAACACATCTCGTAAACGGTGGGCGTTACAAACTTAAAGAATTTCCTTTTTACAATTGTGTTTCATCCTCGTAACGGGACCCGTTTGCGAGACTCCTAAAAAAGACAACAACGGGCGTTTATGTTAAGTTGGCACTCTTTGGTCGGGTGGGGCGGGTTGGGGCGGGTTGGGAGGGGTCGGGCGGGGTCCCCTCGCGAAATGGTCCCGATCCGGTGCGCGGCCTGCCGGCCTGTGGACAGTGACTCGAGGCCACAGGTGCGGCCTCTTTGTCTGCGCTCGGCGTCGCTGGGCGTCGCTGGGCGTGCGCGCTGCGTGCTGCGAGACACAGCGAGTGCGTGCCGGCGGGCCGCGGGCGTGCCGTGACATCATCTGGCTTGTCGTCGCGGAGCACGGCGAGGCACGGCGCGGCACGGCGGAGCACGTCCGTAACGAAAGGCGCCGCGCCGCGCCGCCCTGCCCCCGGGTCCCCTCCCTTCCCCTTCCCCTCTCGCCCCGCCTCGGCCCGGCCGGCTGCGAACAAGGCCTAATTGATATGTAACCTTGTACCGAACGGGCCCAACCTGCATCGCGCCCGCCCCGCGTCTCAGTGTGTACCTTTCCCCCCCCCCCCCCCGCCCCTTCCCCCTTTCCACGCCGCCGTCCTCGCGCCTCGTGTGTGTGTGTGTGTGTGTGTGTGTGTGTGTGTACCACTGTCGTGTTCGTTTCAATGGGCCGCTGTAGTGGTACTGAGCACAGCAGCGCTTACGCTGCGCATGTCCTAAATGCACGTGGAAATGGCCGCATGCCCATACTACTGAGGAATGCAAAATTAATAACCTTTTTATTTTTCGATTTTTTTCGTGTGTGTTGTTTTTTGTTTATCTTTTTGTTGTTCGGCCCGGTCGCTCGCTGCGTTTTAGTTTTACGATGATGGCCATCAGGTGGTGGTGGTGGTGGTGGTGGAGCCCCGGCTGTCCCGGCGATGCTCCGTCGCGACACGCACACACACGCACACACGCACACACTCTCCGTGAAAACAGAATCCCGCAGCGGGCCGGGGCCGGGGCCAGGCCACCAGAGATGACGGAAAAGATCTCCGCCGGCCGTCCATCGCAGCGTGGCCGGGCCGAGGGGCAGGCCGAGGGCCGGGCCAATCGCAGAGGATGCTGCTGGAAATGTTGCTTTTGAACCCCGGCGCCTCGCCGCGCCGCGCCGCGCGGTCCGGGCTGCAGTTTATGCCTCAAGCCAGCCGACTGCCGACCTCCGCCGACCACTGCCGACTGGGCGGCGCGTCTTCCATACTACTCCTTTTTTGGCCGTTCGGCCGTTCGGCCGTTCGCTGTTGGCGATCCTAATAAAACTGCTGCGCTCCTCTTGGGCGCAACATGTGTTGCATGCCAGCGCGTACACGCTATATACTGTACGGATTCGTGTGCGTGTGTGCGTGTGCGTGCGTGCGTGTGTCTGCGAATCCGACACGTGATATGCTTGCCCGGCTCGGCGTAGGGAAACGTTGCTGGTCTCATTTGGCGCGTCCGTTCGAACAGTCCGTCGTGGCTGTCGTCGCGGCTTCCCTTCACCCCGTGCCCCGCCCCGCCCCGCCCCCTTTCCAGGCCAACAAACTACCAGCCGGCGTTACGAAAGTGAGACAGTGATGTTGAATATCAAACGGGCATGGGAGACTGGTGGTAGGGCGGCTGTACCAACACGGCGTCCAACGCTCCCGCCTAGCCGCCGTCACTGCTGCCGCTGCAGTGGCGTGGCCGGCATGCCTGGCATGGCACTGCCTGGCATGGCACTGCCTGGCATGGCACTGCCGCGGTGGGACGCGGGACGCGGACCTTACGTCACAGCAGCAGTCACAGGCCGCGCCTGCCCGCCCGCCCGCCGTTCGGACGGCTGTCCCTGAGTTCCCTGCGCCGCCGGTGCATCCATTTACGTTCGGCTGAGTGGTGTTGATTCCCCCTCCCCTCCCTCCTAGGCCAGCTCCTCTAACGGACTTGCCCCCTCCCCCTCCCCTTCCCAGCGGCTGCAAGCGCTTCTCACATCACAGGTGCGCGCCTGCATAACGCCGCCTTAAGGAAATGGCAAACAGTTTTATTTGTCTGGCCGGGAACTGGAACGCGGCGTGCAGCGCCGCGCTGGAGTCGGCTGGAGTCCGGGACCTTTCCAGCCAGCGTCCTTCACCGACGCTTTCCGGCGCCGTCTAGAGCAGCGGTTCTCAACCTTTCTCGGCTCGCGACCCCAAATTTGAAGCCAAAAATTTCCGCGACCCCCAGGAAAAATTTCGCGACCCCACGGGACCCCTCCTTTAACATGCCACGGCGTCTGATCCGAGCGGGCATTTTGCTCCCTCAACGGCAACTGTTTTTCCTTCTTTTGCCGTTCGGCGTGCAATTTCGTTTTGTTTGGGAGAAAGTAATTCTCAAGTTGGCCAAAGTCAGAAGCTTTGAACTTTTGTACGGATTCTGGCTGCGTTGTCCGGGCGGGCGTTTCTGCG